CAGCCAGCCAGCCAGTCAGTCAGTCAGTCAGTCAGTTAGCCAGTCAGTCAGTCAGTAAGAATCTTTATTTTACGAGGGTAGCAAATGACAGTATAATGAACAACTGATGACCCAGTGGCTTCAACTAATAAAATTTAAATATATACAAAGAAAAGAAGAAAATAAATACTAAATAAATAAAGAATAAACACTGTTCTGGGAGTAAAAGCAAAATTCCTGCATCATTCCTGTCGAGGAATGATGTTAATCATGTTTTTCATTAGCCTGCTGTGCAGACGTTTTTAGTGTCGGCTCGTTCGAGACGACACTAAAAACGTCTGCACAGCAGGCTAGTTTTTCATGGATTTGACCCCTGTTAGGAATTAGTGCAAGGGTGTATAAAGATATAAACACCCCGTTTACAACCCCCACAAATGATCATTCCAGTTACGATTTTAAAGAGTTGTATACACCATGGATGTTGTCCCATATTATTATTCAATCTTCGTGCACTGTCTAAAATTCAAACATGTTATTGGTTAAAAATGATCAAGTGATTTTGCTGTACCTGGCGATATCTAGCATTCTAATCATAGGCTCGCCTTTAAACACCGCACACCGCCGAGTAATGCCATTATTTCCTGGATTTTCTCCTGCAAGAAATGATACTCAAGAGAAAGACTGTACTCATGTTCTGAATTCATTACGCTCTAGCTAAAAGCTTAGAACGTCTGTCAGCCTTCCTTCATGTCATAGAAAAGTTGTTTTCTTCACTTATTTTCAGGCCGTGATTTCCTGGAAAATGGTTACAAGCTGAATGCAGTCAGTAAGTCAGACTTTTCTTTCATTATGAATAACATTGTATACTATAGCGTGACGCGTAAAAGTATGACCACCTTTAATGTTTTGGTATACTTTTATGCACGGGCTTTTGTGCGTTAAACAAGCATATTTGGTTGTGAAGGTTCCCTGCTAGCAAAGCCTATTTTACTTTTGTGTTGGTGAAGTGCGAAAAATAGACTGTCTCCTTCCTCTCCCCGCCTAAAAGAAGGGAGAGAAAGAGAAGAGACTCTGCTAGCAGGGAAATGTGAAGGTGGCTGGTTTTACCAAATAAGAGGTGTAAAAGCTCGTTTGGCATAGTAAA